AATACCAAACCAAAGATAAAGAGAAATTAAAATGTCCGAAAACGATTATGCGGACAAACAATTACAGAAGTGGAGTAAACCAAATACATCCACAACAATGAAATTAAGAATATTTAATATAAAGGTTTTAATCCACAAATGTCTTTAGTTCTCCCGTAACAATCCGCTACATACCCAAGGAATTGAAGGTGCCACGGGTTTTTGGATCTCGACAACGCTTTAACTAGTAACACCTTCTAATATGAATCGTACCCACCAAGTGAAATCAAAATACAGGAGCGAGGAGGTTCGAAGATATATTTGTTAGGCTATCAATGTATCGAGGATAGACTGACCTAGGCTGGCTAGCGATTGCAGGGGATGTTGAGCACGGCGTTCCCACTCGTGATCTGATGCGGATGCATGACCGAACCCCGTTCAGCTAGGTGAGTCCATTAAAACTAATGTGGTCAGCATCCAATGTCGAAGACCTACAGAGCTATTTATTTTGGGGATCTTTTTACCTCTACAGAATCATGAACGTGGCTTTCAGATCACCCCTTACTCTTCTGTTACCTAAGGAGAATAATTCCTGGTGATGGAGTAAGTGCCCACAACATTTGCTCTTTAATATCATATCCTTCTGCGTTGCACATCATTCCGCGTGTCCCGAAAAATTCACGCATGCTATCAGGAAAAAAAGAGAAGAGAAGTCGTGGAATTTCTAAACGTTTGTCAGTGGAATCTCATTTTAACACCAAGAAACGAGGGCATGGAAAATGTTCGGTTTGCACTTACTCGCCAAAAGCACATGGGTATTGATAATATTGGACAAAAGGCGCACAAACAACTGAGCCAATCAAAACGCAGTTCACCTTTCAACTTTGTTATTTAACTACCATCAGCTCGCAGTCAGACTCCTCAGCCTGCAGTTGGTGTATATTGTGCGATGCCTGGTAGGTCCGGTTTGGAAGTTTAGCTCTTTAACATGAAAAGTGTTGTGTTTCTCCATGTAAATGTATAGGATCTCAGGCAAGGCAGATATAGTACTCTAAATGTTCCAAAGATTGTTCCATTTGAAATACTCAGAACTAGTTAGCTTGTAGTATTGTGCACAATTTTGCTTATTTTCAGTTTCGTACATTGACAAAGTGTTATAATGTTTGCGTTTCATGGCACACAACATATATATATATATATAAGTCTAAAGGATAAAGTAATGAAGTCAAGTATAGGCGAGAAGTGGGTAATTCGACGATCACTAAGGTGTCACCTCACAGATCTTACGACTGACGAACTGCATTTTGTCATGTCTCATTATTTTCCCAACATACGCCTATAGGCATAAAAGATGACTTTTATTTGTTCTGTCTCCTGAATTAACCAAATCTTTGCCATTGTCGCTTGTATATTCCTCGAATTGCTTCTATTTCCCCATTCTTATTTAATTGGGAGATCTTGTTCTACGTTTCTCTCTGTTACTCGTCCGTATATTTGTGCCTACTTCCCGTATATATCGTTTACCGAGGAATAGATATATGGAGTAATGCTCCTTAGATCGGTTAAGTAGTAGAGAAGCGAAAAGTTGCTTCCAAAACATGCTAATTCTTGGATTTTGTGATACCACTGAGTTTACAACTTGTTTTGCTTAGTACCATTCTCTAAGAACTTTATTTGTCAATGTATATTTCAGATTGGTTTGTAATCTAGCATTTCCACAAATCGATCTTGGCAGTATAGTTATGTATCTCGACTCATGTTTATTTCGTAGTTCATTCTTTGTTGCTAGGATCCCTAATGCTTTCCGTTGTTCCTTTGAATCATAAATAATATAATCCACCCATTCTCATCTCATCCCTTAAATTCACATTCATCCGTCAGCTTTTTGCCTTCTCATGTCTCAATTAGGAAATCCTGTCAACGATGTTTCTGAGATCTATAGGTTTTGTGCCGACTGACAAATTGTCGTCTTTGACTGCTGCTCAGTTCTTTCTTACTATGAGGTTTGTCAAACAAAAATGATCTATTAAATCGTGTTGCTTTGTTTCGAACATATCATCCCCCTCGAATTGGTGGCTGATAAGATGAATGAATTTCTCTTGTAATTTATTGACTATGATGGTAAGATTTACTGGACGACAATTTCTCGACAGTCTTACCCAGTTTTACAAACAAAACTATTGGTGTCATTCTTTGAGTCTGAGCTACACTTTCACGAAGTTGAAGCAGCTAATTAAGCACCCCAACATATTAACTTGGGTCATAAAGTGTCAGCTGCTTTGGTAGGTGATAGGGAAGTCACTCAAGCCATAGAAAACTACTGAAGTTTTTCTTCTAAGTTGCAAATCATATCGTTATTTGTGGAGCTTAACCGATCAGTTAAAAAATTCTAATGTCAGCATAGTGACACAATAGCCCAGACTAAGAATTAAGTTCATAAATCTTATGAGATGTTCATCAAATTTATGCCCAGTTTCCTTGGTGAATAATAAACCAGAATAATTGCCTTCTAACGAATAGCCACATCGCTAGGTATCGTGATTATTATATAAACCATAATTTACAAATTGTAGATGTTCCTAGTTATTTTCTGTTCTGTTTGTTTCTACTTCCAAAAGATAAACGGTCAACCTATCCAAATTCCTATGAAAAATATTTCCCATTAGATCGTTCAAGATCGTTTATTAGTGCGCATTTAAATCGGCAGTCAATAATATCCGATCCTAAAGTGAGTTGCTAATCACTCAAATAACCGTTTTGTCCGTCGTTTTCTAGAAGTGTAGTGTTTAATGGACTCAAATATTCTATACTAAATAGTTATTTAGTGATTAATGTAAGTAATACAGTACCGCTTTGAATTACTACATCTGATAACAACATATTACAATCAATAAAATCAAAATCACAGTTATCAACAATAATGAAAACCCCAAATCGACGAGTGGACATATCGAAAAAAGAATGTAATTAAGGATTAAGATAGACGAAATAGTATTAAGCGTGGTGTTTAGAAGGTATGAGTTGTTGTCTGATACAGAGACTGGTTTTAAATCGTGTCCGTACATGATTAATAGTTATTCCAGCATTATCAACAACCTAACATGCATCTACTGTGGCAAGGTGACTGACATTTAATTACCTGAGCTTCTAAATCTATTCCTTTTATCATGTTATTCAACTCAACTTGATCAGAGTGTCTTCAATTAGATGTATTTTTGAAAGGTATCATAGTCATCCTAATGTAGGTAGTGTCATTAAAAAGTGTGGGAGGAAACGCTTTACTTCGAACGTTTATTTACATACAGAAAATCTAGGGTATTTAGAGTATTTGGATCTCCTCAACAATGACTAGGTATTATTTAATGTAACGTTTATTAGCTCTAGAGTTCCTTGTTATATTGTTGCATCATTCTTTTGTTTTGTGATGAATTCACAATCTTCAGACAATTTTCATGAGATATCAGTTCTTATAATCATTCGACGACAAATGTCTACAAATCGTAGGTCGCATGATATAAAACCACTGAGTGGATGATTCGGAAGTGAAGTATAGCATTGGATAAAAATATGAAGTTGTTTTATTAGGGCATAAATCTTAGTCAGCTCAGTATAAACTGATCATTCTTTACTTATCGTTATATTAGCCACATCATATGTGGTAAATACATTAAAAATGCTTAAATTTCTCAATTTGATATACTATTATGTACATACCGATACGTGGTTAGCCTCATACACCATTATTTGCAGTTTTGGTTTGGGCAGCCAAGAAGTTCCATTAGGCTTCGCATTTAGTGTTGTTCATACCCAAGAACCTGGTAGACGAGTTAATTTAACTTCAGTCAATTAATTTTTCATTTACAAATAACTGATTCGACAAGATTTCAATTCTCTCAATTTCTTAAAAACTTTAGTACATATTAAGTTGTAACCGAAGAATTTTCTTTCTGTTACTATCTTATTAATTGATTTCAAGAATTATTTTTCATATTTATTGACTGATTTGTTCGGTAATTTTAGACTGGTGCACGAAAATCTCCAATTTCTCAAAAGTTCACTGACGAATCTCGTGTACAAACAGTCAAAGATCTTTTTGAGTATGGCTTAAATAATTCGAGTAAGTTCATCCATTCACACTAACTATTTGTTTATTGTTGTCTGTTCACGATAAACTTTGATTTGCGAAATAGATCTAGTTGAATAATCAACTGCTAAGTAGAACCTTGTTATTTGTTATTGTGTTTGTTGTTCTCGTTTATTTCAACTAGGTGGTTTACTTGTGAGCTTTTCATTTTCTTTCGACACAACATCACCAGCACTTAATCCTAGAAGAAGTGACTTTTTAGAATCGGTTCACAAACAGTCAACAGTTTATCGTAACTATTTCCCATGCGGTTATTGTATTTTCCATCAGTTGATAGCTCAGATGAATTTCATCATTTCCAATAATTCGTGAATGGTTTGAATGCAAAGTCTTCTAAAATTCCCCTGTTCCCTTTGTTGCCGCTAGTTGAAACTTGATGGGTTTATATGAGCGAATATGTTTTGAAAAACGATCATTGTTTTTAGTATTGTGATGAATTTTTTATACATGCTATCAAATGGTGCCTTAACTCATGGTAGTGTATTTATTGTAAGTTCTTACACTTTATTTGTTTGGTTCAATATATCTAGAGGTTGGAAAATGAAACGTTTTTCGAAATTCTGTGCTAAGTTGTGTCCCATGCTATTAGATAACTTAAACAAAACAAAATTAAAGCTTTGAACATTTTCTGTTGTATTAAGTGATGAAAATATATTTACATATATAAGATCGAAAAATCATGAAGTTAAACGACAACTTGATTTGGAATTCCAATTATCTAGCACTTACTGTGCACGAGATATATGGTTAATAGCTTTGTATATTCAGAATACTCCACGAGTTCAAGATAGATCTCAACAAAACGTTCCAAGCTTTACAAGATCTCAAAGAAGAAGAAACTACTATGGAGGACAAATAGAAAAATATAAAAGAATCACTAGCTTCAACGTCTCAGGTGGTTATGGCCCTTAAGAAGCATCATCATACGGAATGGATCTCTATGGAAACCCTGGACATGATTCAAGAGAGGAAGAACAGGAAAACAGCAATTATCAACAACCGAACAAGAACAGAAAAAGTCAAAGCACAAGCTAAATACACGGAATCAAACAAGCAAGTGAAGAAGATTATTAGAGCTGACAAGCAGAAATATGTGGAAGAGCTAGCAAGGACAGCGGCAAAAGTTGCAAGAGGAAATTTGAAACAATTACGATACAATGAAGAAATTAGCACGAGATTGGTCAGTGACAAAGAAAGCGAGACAATCATTGAAATTCAGGAGCAGAGGAAGAGATGGGTGGAACATTTTGAGAAACTCTTGAATAGACGAACCCCTCTGAATCCATCGAACATCAAAGTAGCACAAACAGACCTTCCTATATATATCACTTCACCAACGATCGAATAAATCAGGATGGCCATCAGAGAAATCAAGAGTAGGGAAGCAGCAGTACCTGACAATGTACCAGCTAAAGCATTGAAGTCAGTCATAGAAGTAACTGCAAAGATGCTCCCCGTTCTATTCAGGAAGATTCGGAAGGAAGAACGAGTGCCACCAACAGACTGGAAAGAACTGCACCTCATCAATATACCAAAGAAAGGAGGTCTGAGCAAATGTGAGAGCTGCAGAGGCATCACACTACTATCGGTACCAGGAGTTTTTAGCAGAGAGTTACTAAACCGGATAAACGATTCAATAGACGTCCAACTTTGAGATCAACAGACCGGATTCCGTGAAGACCGGTCACATACAGACCAAATCATCGCTGAACAATCGATTGAATGGAAACTTCCTTGACTATGAGAAGGCATTAGATAGCGTGGATAGGAGAAAGTTAGGGAATCTTCTTCAACACTGGAGTGAGTAGGTGAGAAAATCGTCAACATCGTCCGGGATCCATACGACGGACTACACTGCGAAATGGTCCATGGAGAGCAGCTGACAGATGCATTCCAAGTGAGGAACGGTGTCAAACAAAGTTGCTTACTCTCATCCTTTCTGTTTCTTCTGGTGGTCAACTGGATTATGAAGACCTCAGCATCCAAGGGGAGGCGCGGAATACAATGGACAGCCTGCATGCAACAGACGATTTGAACTTTGAGGATGACCTAGCCCTTATACCCCATACACACGAACAAGTGCAGGTGAAAGCGATCAGTGTAGCAGAAGGTTCTGTAGCAGTAGGACTCCCCATTCATAAGGGAAAAAGCCAGATCCTGAAATATTATTATTATTTATTATTTTAACACATAGATATTGGTACATGGAGGCACCAAATACATATGCGCCACACAAATCTCATTCGATATGTGTGAGGTCTGTGATACTGACTGGGTGCCCAGACCAAAGCAGGTGGTTATCTTAAGGGGCCACACCCCGAGCCTTAGACTTGAAGGTTTGATCCACAAGGCAGTGGAGCATCGTAAGGAGATGCAGTCCCATGGAAGCCGGTGACCAACAATTGGTTCATACGCCATTTGTTCCCGCAGGATACTGGAGCCCATGTGCACCATTGATTTGGAATCTGGTTAAAGCGCCGGACATTCGCTTTTCGTCCTCTCATTTTCGTAAACATTACCCCCGCCACGAGAGGGCAGTGAGTAGGACTTCCCTGGCAGAGGCTGTATACGCGTGACCGTGTGAGAGTATTTCAAGAGGGAGAGCGGACTCTCCCGACTCTCGGCCGTACCAGGGCATTTAAGGGCTATCCTGAAATAAAACACAGAGAACAACAATCCAATTGCACTTGATGGAGAAACTCTGGAAGAGGTGGAGACTTTCACATACCCGGACATCGTCGTCGATGAATGAGGAGGATTTGTTGCAGACGTAAAAGCACGGATTGGCAAAGCAAAGCCAGTACTTCTATAATTGAGGAACATATGGAACTCAAAACACCTGTCAACCAATATCAAAATCACAATCTTCAATACGAACGTCATGACAGTTCTACTGTACGGGGCTGAAACTTCGAAAACTATCACAACCATCATCAAAAAGGTACAAGTATTTATAAGCAGTTGTCTACGCAAGATACTTAACATCCACTGACCAGATACTGTCAGCAACAGTTTTCTGTGGGAGAGGAAAAACTAGCTTCCAACTGAAGGAGAAATTAGGAAAAGACGTTGGAAGTGGACAGGGCACACATTGAGGTAACCACCAAACTTGGAATGCTGAAGGGAAGCGGAAAAGTGGAAAACTGAAGAACACATTGCGTCGAGAATTGGGAGCAGACATGGAAAGTCAGTCAGTCAGCTACAACGTAGGACCAGGCACATATATGCATCGGCCCAAGTTGCCATACCTCATTAACACAACAAGATGGACACGGGATTCATAAAAGTAGTTAATTCAGAGGTGGTAATATGTACAAGAAAGATTGCAATAAGGATATAGTACAGGAAGGAAGAATTAGTTCGTAGAAAGAAAGATATGAAGCAATTTTAATCTCTTAGTCTAAGGGAAGACAGAGAGTGTATACACCGACGCCATTGTGATCGATTCTGAGCCATGTCACCAAGAGTTTCCAACCATTGGTTACGATTGTCATGGGAAACATGAATAGCAACTGGAAAGGATTGCACAGGACAGAGTTTGATGGAGAAATCTGGTGGGTGGCCTATGCTCCTCCATGTGGGGTAACGGGCCTAAGTAAGTAAGTATATTCTCAATACAAAGGAGTTTAATGTGACCAGATGGCGTGAAATGAAAATGTTATGCGTGTTCAAAATATATGACTAATAGGCATGATATACTCTTTATCGTAGCGGAATTAAGGTAGTATAAGTGCTTAACACCGCAGCGTTATACTGTAGGCATAAATCATTGTTTTATTCTAGACTAGTTTCAGTGTAAGCTTCTACAAGGTTTACTCACAAACTGAAATTTATTATTCTAATATATTTACAACGTCAAAATGCTTAACTTCTTTAAGATTTTACTCTGTATTTAGAGCAGTGAAATCCTATAATTTTTTCCTATTGAGGTTTCTGACTGTTTTTTATGTTCTTCACTAAGAAGGCAGGGAAGGACGTTATATACTTTTTCTGTTACGGAACTATAAAATCCCGAATGTTGTTTTATGGTGATTAAACAGTACTTTATTGCTTGAAATACTGTTTATTTTATGGTCGCCACGCAAAATGCGGATTATTTGTATTATCGTGAATTAAAACTGTTAACTCACGTGGTTTACTGGGTCAGCAGTTAATTTGTAATTTGTGAATTTTTTGTAGCATGTTATCATGTATTATGTTTACTGCACTTTTTGTGATCACAATAAAAAGCTTCGTAGATGTCACTTATCGATTTATTAGTTTTTAATGCTCTATTTGAAACTCCTTCAAATACAGGATCCAATCGGTGTCTGGGGAAACGGCCGTCTTTCAATGATCCATACTCGTGGCTAACTTATGATGAAGTAAATAGTCCCAACTGAAGTGTATATTTTTTCAGGTAGATGAGCGAATAAGGGCTATCGGGTCGGCGCTCTCAGAAATTGTGAAACTTAAACATGACTGTGAAAATGTTGTCGGGATTTATGCACCAAATTCACCAGAGGTAAGTCTGAAAGTTATTCAATTTTGAAATACACATTACTTTGTAAATTAATTAATCGTTGAAGCGTTTTCAGTGTCTGTACCAAATGGGATTTTACCAATGAGATATGGTATGTAATTCGTTTATTTATTTATTTATTTGAACACATAAACATTGGTAAAAGGGGACCGAATACATATGCCCCACACAAGTCAATTGATTTGTGTGTGGCCTGTGATACTGCCTGATGCCCAGACCGTGGTTGTGGAAAGTGAGATATCCGAGTGGTGAGACCTTACTTCTGTATCACAAGTCATGAATTATATTCCTTTAGGTTACTTAAAAAATAAATATATCTAGTATGCTTGTCCTACACATACGTTTCTTCATCGTTTTTCATTGCCTACGCTTGTTACTCCCAGTGACCAGCATTCTCCTACCCACTGTGCCTTGGGCCTTCTTTTCCGGTTCCATCCAATCCTTGTTCATTTTTCTCATGTCTATCTCCATTTCTCGGCGTAATGTGTTCTTTGGTCTTCCTCTTTTCCTTTGGCCTTGAGGTTTCCATGTGAGGGCTTGTCTTGTGACGCACTTGTATGTTCTAGATGATGGCTTTCGTAGTTCTCCAAGTTTCCGCCCCATACAGTAGAACTGTCTTGACATTTGTATTGAAAACCCTGACTTTGGTACTGACTGACAGTTGTTTTGAGTTCCAGATGTTCTTCAATTATAGGTATGTTTCTCTTGCTTTGTCGATCCGCGCCTTCACATTAGCACCAGATCCGCCGTTTTCATCAATCATGCTGCCCAGATATGTAAAGGTTTTTACATCCTCCAAAGCTTCTCCGTCAATTGTGATTTGATTGGTGCATGTTGTGTTCTGTCGGCGAATCTTGCTTTTCCCTTTATGTATGTTGAGACCTACTGCTGCTACACTGGTCTTCTTCTGCATTTGTTGTTGCGTGTGCGATAGAAGAGCCAGATCATTTGCGAAGTCCTACTCTTCAATCTTGTTAGTTATGACAATTGCTGCTTATAAACTTAAATGGTAAATCATATTTAGGTTAATGTACAGGAACCTGTCTCCTTCTACCTCTTTTTTAACCGATGATATTCTAATTTTTGGTGTGATATGATAGAAGTTAGTAAGGAATTCGTACCCAAAACCATAGTCTTGGTATCCAAAAGAAGTTTGTAATACCTCTATCTTCTTGGTTAAAGAAAACCTCATAGATGATCTTAGTAATTATTTCTCATTTTTGCTTCTATTCACCTTCATCTTTTTTTTGTTACTCGCATACTCTAATAGATTATTCACACACATCACTGTTCAGTTTGATAAGTAATTAAAGGTGTGAGGCGTCAATGATGAGGGTCTAAACCTCCCCTCACCTTACTCAGGCGCCACCTATCTCATAAACAAGTATGTTTGTTGAAGAAAACAACTGTTACGCAACAATTCATATATTTGCGTTATTCTATTTTATACTTATTCAATTATAATTATTACTAGTTGCACAGCTCATTAAACCCAACTATTTCTTCTACTATCCAGTGGGTTATTATGCAGCATGCATGTGCAGCATATTCTTATACCATAGTACCTTTGTATCCAACTCTCGGTGATGAAGCTTTGCAACATATTCTATCGCAAAGTGAGTTTGTTGTTGATATCATTTCACTTATTTTCACATTTTCTTTAGTATAGTATATTTTACTAAATAATTTGTCTGCATGTGACTGTGTTTTACATTAAACGTATCACATGATTAGTACAACAGTTAATATAATTTCAGTGAAATTCGATATTTATCCATTGTGTTTATGAAGGTATCTGTTTTAACTGGGTTCCATACATTTTTGTGACTGTTTTCATTGTTGCTGGTAGCATCCAGAAATAAAAAACCGAATATATGATAAATTATTTCAAGTAAATATGTTAGTTTTACGAGGGTGTAATACATTATCCTTAACAAAATGATACTTTTTCAAATTACCTTACGGTAACAGATTTTCAATTGAAAATGTTGTAGTCAAGCTAAGAAAGATATAAACAATCATAAATTTTTAATCAATGCTTATTCTACTTAAATTTTAGCGAAAATGAACTGTGTGCTGTGTGCTTCAGGACGTGAAGCTCTTCATTTAATGGACAAATTTGAATCTTCCCTTGAAATTTTAATCATTATTGCAAATGATTCTAAATTTGAAGAAGTTAAATCTCGTTATAGTTCGAAAGTTTCAATTTACTTGTTTGAAGAATTAATGGTAATTAGTGCTTACTTGCCAATACATTTTTTAATCGTGCGGAAGGAAAGAATTTTCCAGATTAGTTAGTTACGAAATTGTGATATCTTCCATTGAACCATACATCTCTTA